ATTGCGAATATGATTGGGGCATTTTGTTGATTAGCTCTCTTTTTGCCTTGTTCTTTCGTCCTAAAATTTATTCCACTAGTAGCCCTTTGAGCTTAAAACCTTTTCTTGTCAACCTATTGACCGATTTGTGTGATGATTGGGGGATTGGTGGAATTTTTGAATATGATGGAAATTTGAGTTGCACTTTATTGGCTTGACCTGTTGAAAAAAAAAACATGTGAGCTCACAGGACGAATTAAATGGACTCTGCTCCTCTTACTAGTCGATTAACGTTGACGGGTAATGAGCATTGGGAGACTACTGTAGGACACTTGGATGACCTCCAATGTTTAAACCTATAGAATGTTGTCCTTTTGATTCGATCTTGTTCGGAAAAAGTTACTCTCTAAATAAATTAAAATAAAAAAAAACAAAAAAAAAGAAAAGAAATTAGGGTCAAGTGATGTTGCAATTCGATTAGAGCACTTAGGTGTTGTTTGTGGAGTTTCTTTGGTTGGATGGTGAAGGTGTTGTCATGTTTACGCCAGATTGGTAGCGGAGAACTCGAGCTATCTATTTGCTCGAGAATTGTGATTGTTCATTTGAGTTGCTTTTCTCGCATATATCCTTTACCTTAGCCCACATGACAACCCGTGAAGTCCTCTTGATTCGCAAGTTTTTGAGCTTTGATTGTTTTCGAGTAATTTAAACGATTGGCAAGCATATGTTGAAACTTGAATATTGACCAATTTTGAGCGTTCCTATCACTTAATCATGCAAGAAAATGAGTGAGGCATACATGATAATCTATGTTTTGAGAGTTTGTCATTTCATGGCCAAGTCGATATTTGAGGCATATGGTCGTATGTTTGTTGGAATTCGACTCGATTGAATTGGGCATTTTGAAGCTCTTCTTATTTGAAACCATATCCATGCTCGTGTCTTGTTTTGTTTTCTTTTTGTTCGGGATGAACAAAGGATTAAGTGTGCGGGAGTTGTTTGTCCCATTCTTGTTGTGTTTCTCGTTGTCTTTTTGCTGTTCTTTTTCCCCCGTATTGAGTCGTTTAGGTGATTTTAGGATCTTTTTGTCATTTATTATGTGTTTTGCGTTCTTTTGAGTGTTGCGGTGTTTTCCGTTTGTTTTCCGGTCTTTTTCTGTTCTCTTTTCGTATTTGGTGTGTAGTTTAGAGACTCCGGGAGAACAGGTTTTCGAGAATCTTTTGGGAAGGCTGACACCATTAGAAAGAGGGGCTCGTTAGAGACGCGTAGGAAAAAACAGAACTCAATTCCGAGTCTGAACGAGCCCGTACGAGCAAAAACAAAGTCGACGCGCAAAGCTGTCGGGGGCCTTAGCGCCGCTAAGGCCTTAGCGCCGCTAAGGCCTGCGTGGTTAGCGGGGTTTTGGCAGCTAAGCGGGACAGAGGAAACCAGCTAAGAAGGCTTAGCGCCTCTAACCCCTTAGCGGCGCTAAGGCCTGTTTTGTAACTGACACGATTTTCGTGGATTTTGAATGGGAAAATGATATTAGATCGAACCCAAGACTCAAAAACTTAGTTTTTCTTCATCTTTTTCATAGTAGACGAGGGAAGAGGGGGGTGCTCGATGGGGGAGGAACCCTAACTCCAAAAATTGACTCCTCCCTCCATTGTTCTTCCTCCTTCTTCTTCTCTTCCTCTCTTCTCCTCTTCTCTTCACCCTTCTTTTCCATTTTTTTCTTCTTGTTAATAATTAGGGATTAAGCTTGTATTTGGAATTCAACACTTGAACTTGGGATTAGTTGTAAGTTTCTCTTTTTATTCAATTCCTTAAAATGGTTGATTTGGAGAGAATGATTGATTGTGTTGAATCGATTTTACGTAGCTGAATCTGATTGCTAGGGATAGGGGATGATTGTTCTTGTTTAACATGCATTTGCCGGGCTTTGATTTGTTCATTCTTACGTGAGTTGTTTTGATTAGGGATTGATATAATCTTGCTTGATTGATTGATATAATCGAAGAGTGACACTTCGATCTTGCAATTGGTAACAATTGAATGTTGATTAGTCGAGTTAGGGTTTTGTTGATTCTATGCGATTAGTTGATTAAACACTTTCTAGTTAATTAGCGACTTGTAGAACCGAAAGGGGAGAAGTCGTTGACCTAGGCTCGCATGAGGTAGATAATCTCGTAATTGAATAATCTATGTGTTTTAGATTGAAATACGAGCTTGTCGATGACTCGTCCCTTGTTACGAATAGTTATTGGGACTGGGATCATTGACTCGTTTTGTATGCTCTAGCTTGTTCGTCTATATTCAATCCCTTGTTACGAAGAGTTATTGGGAGCGAACCGCTAGACGTTTAGGCGAGAGTGTCAATCTCGAACCGAACAATTGATTGCCCGACTTTGCTAGAACTCGAATTAATTATCCCTGATTCCCTAGCTTCTCCATCTTCGTTCCATTCATATTCTTAGGTAGATTTACATTTTGCATTGTTATTCATTTCTTAGTTGATAATTATTCACTCCCTTATTTGATTAGTATGTTTAGAATTTATTTTGCTTTTATGTGTTATCGATATCAGAACTAAATTCCGAACCGCCTTCCTCGTGAGATCGACCCGGGGAACGAATCTTTTGATTCGGTAATCGGTAAAAAGAATAATTTGTACACAACACATGGTGGTCGTCCAGCCCGGAGGCGTAGACTTTTGTGACCACCTGCCCACCCCAAGGAATGTACCGAAAGCAAGCGACCTTCGCCCACCCCTTGAGCGGGGTGTTAAAAAACGAAGGGCTTTTTTTCTTCACTCGGATGACCTGCCACTGAGGTCAAAGGGAGAAACACCAAATACAGCAAGATAGGATAGTAATCGATCATTTCCGTTAGTGTCTTCAAATGTATAATTACATCGAAAGAGATAAAAAATATCAAATGTATTTGACCTCCCTTTCCTGGTTGTACATGGTAACGTGTGCTCGAATTCTTCGACCTGCCACTAAGGTCGAAAAAGAAAACATCGAACACCACGAGATATAATAATATCCGATCATTTTGTTAGTCATCAAAATAATAATCCAAACATGCCCATGTACCTCACCATGCCATCAATTTCGCCAAAAAATGTTCAAACATTCACATGTGTCGATCAAACTCGACCACCAAATCAAGAGTTTAGACTAGTTTTGTACCCGACGGTCGAGAATACCGCTCCAAATTGTCTTACCTTTCCAAAAGAGAATGAATTGTGCCTTTGAGATTGCTACCGGTGATCGACCTCATCCATGCTCTTCCTCCATTATCACCCACCTTTTATGGCTCTATGCTCGTCCACCATAGCTCGTCCAGACTCGGGTTATTTCGTTGTTTCCTCGACAAGAATTCAGAGAGACATCATTATCCACATTATATTCAAGTTATCCGTTTCGTAATGCTCCACGCAAGAAAAACAAGAGATCAAATATAAATATCCCATCTCCTCGACTTAAGGTATGCTCGAGCAATGACATGTTTAAAGATTATGAATAATCAATTTGACATAATTCCACATTTCCACACGAAAATCCAAATAAATGGTCCCAGTGCCTAAAGATATCCAATTATATAAATCTAATCCATGTCCTCGAGCAAGTCAGATAATTTCGCAATTTAATCAAATAATCCTACATAAATAAACCAAATAATATCTCCTCGACAAAATAAAATAATGTCCACGAACAAATCACGCATAATTTTGCATGAATAAATTGAATATATCCACGAATAAATCATGCAATTGTCTTTTTCGCGAAAATTATATCTCGAATTATCTTACCGTCCACGTCGGATCATCCGAAATTAGCTTTCTGCACAAAATGTGGCTATTAAATCAAGTTGGTTGCATTCTGGGCCTGTTTAGTGGTTGCTGCTCCAAAATTTATCCTGGCTTGGGCCAAAATAGCTCGTTGGGCCGAAAATGGACGGCGTTGGGCTGAGCACACGCGTTGATAGGCCACAATAGAAAGTGAGATTCCTCCCACTTGGTCAAGGATTTTTCAAGCAGAGCGATTATAAGCGTATCTGTAAATCTGGTCGAGAATTCTTCAAGCACTCATCGGGTATATCTTCCAACACTCATCGAGCATGCTTCGACCATTCTTCGAGCGTACCTGGAGATCTGCAAATTTGGTCGGACGAGCAACGGACCTCGAACCTTGAACCTGGTCGAATCATGGAGAAGCTCCGAACAAGACCGTAATCTAGTCGAGTTGTGCGGCGAATTTTTGAGCGAACTCCAAGAAGATGTGCAATCTGGTCAAGTTGTACAGATTTTCGAGCAATCTTCGAGCAGATGCGTAATCTGGTCATATCTGCGAATTTTCGAGCAATTTTTGAGCGAACTCCTCATCGGGCATATCTGCTAATTTTCGAGCAATTTTCAAGCAAACTCCTCATCGGGCATATCTGCTAATCTGGTCGAACGGGCAACAGACTTCGAACTTTGGATCTGGTCGATCCGTACAGAGGGGTTTCGAGCACACCGGTGGTCGACTTTGTGATCTGATCGAGCAGTGATTTCGAGCACATCGGGTAGGCTAGTCTGAATTGGGTCGAGCTGCACGGCTGATTTTGGAGCAGTGAAAATGGTTGAGCAGCAAAAATGGTTGAGTCTGCAATTTGGTCAAGCCTGCAATTTGCTCGAGCTACACGACAGAACATCGAGCAACAAAAGTGGTCGAGCAACAGCGGCCCTCGAGCTGGTGAAGGATTCCGAACATTCCAGTTGAGCAGCTATGGACCTCGAGCTACCAACAGACCTCCAAGCAAACCTGCAAAATACTCCGACAAGCAGGGCGGCGAGCTACAAGGCTCCGAGCGAACCTGATCCCATTCCGACGAAAATATCTGGTGAAGGTAGACGTACCTGTGCACGCCTCTACTAGGTTGTTCTGGTGGTGCCACAGCTTCGCAGAGAGCCGCCTGAAACCCACAGCAAATCGGGGAAAACAACCTTACTTTGACCAAATATCTCTAAGATCCACAAACTTTGACCGCGAAATTGACGTCCTTCTCGGATGAATTTTTTCTTGAAATTTTAAGGGTAGAAAGAACACGAGGAGAGCTTCGTGATGGTGTAAGAATTTTCCAGATCGGATAATTTTTGGCGGCGGCCGGCGGCGGAGGCGACGGCGGCTGGCGGCGGAGGTGGCGGTTTCCGGCGAAGATCGGTAGCTGGAGATTCGTCTCGTCGAGAGGATTCCGGTGGTACCCTCGCATTTTTCATAGCCCTCTCGGATCGTCGAGAAAATGCATTTGAATGCTCGATTTTGACCGATTTCATGCCAAATCTGGAACCTTTGACCGCG